CTCACAGGGCAGCGAGGGGTGCTGCTCTTCACTACAGCACAGCTGGGCTGAACTGAGTCAGTGCTTACACAGAAACCTGTCCTTGTCCCTGATGAAGCTCTACAGGCCACAGGCTTCTCCACAAGTACCAGCCCAGCTGTTTTTCTCGTCATGTCTTGCACAGTGTCACAAGCTGTGGCACAAGGGGAGGCCCTTGTTGCTGTTTCTCCTGGAACACAGGGAAGTAGAAAATGAAATACTTTTTTAATAATGAAACCCATTCCAGCTACCACGGAAAATATGGAACAAGATGCTAGAGCCCTACAGGTTTTACCAGGAAGAGCAACAATTAACTAAAAATTCCCTCCTGCGCTGTTTCCTTTCCCAGCCCATAGATAGTTTCCTCAGTAACTGGCAAGTGCACATGACACAGAAGAGATCTGTGTGTCTGCTGCACCTGAAGGTGAGCAGTTGCTTTTGGTGTTAGAGCTGTAGAGTCAGATTTATCTCCAAAGCAACTCGACCAAGGAAACAGGCAGGGAATTTTCAGCTGGACCTGCAGTACGGTAAGAAAAGGCAAGGCAAGAAAAGGCAAGGCAAGGCATGGAAAGGGAAGGAAAGGCATGGTGAGGAGACGCAAGGCAAGGCAAGGCAAGGCATGACAAGGAAAAGAAAGGCATGGCAAGGCAAGATGAAGCAGGGCAAGGCCATTCCAAGCCAGGCAAGGCAATGAGAGGCGATTCAAGGCGATGCGAGGCAAGGCAAGGGAATGCAAGGAAATGCAAGGTAAGGACAGGCAAGGCAAGGCAAGGCCAGGCAAAGCCAGACCAGGGCAGGCAACGCCAGGCCAGGCATGGCAAGGCAAGGCCAGGCAAAGCCAGACCAGGGCAGGCAACGCCAGGCCAGGCATGGCAAGGCAATGCAAGGCAAATCAAGGCAAGGCAAATCAAGGCAAGACAAGGCAAGGTAAAGCAAAGGAAGGCAAGGCATGGCAAGGCATGGCAAGGCAAGGAAAGGCAAGGCAAAGCAAGGGAATGCAAGGCAAGGCAAGGCATGGCAAGGGAAAGAAAGACCTGGCGAGGTAAAATGGGGAGAAGCAAAGCAATGCAAGTCAAGGCATGGCAAGGGAAGGAAAGGCATGGCGAGGCAAGGCAACGCGAGGCGAGGCAAGGAGAGGCAAGGAGAGGCAAAGCGAGGCAAGGCAAGGAAAGGCCATTCCAGGCCAGGCAGGGTGAGGCTAATCGAGGCAAGGTGAGGCGATGTGAGGCGATGCCAGGCAAAGCAAGGCAAGATGAGGCAAGGCAAGGCAAGAGAAGGAAAGGCATTGCAAGGCATGGCAAGAAAAGGAAAAGCAAGGCAAGGGAAGGCAAAGCAAGGCGAGGCAAAGGCAGGCAAGGCAAGGGAAGGAAAGAACTGTTGTGGTTTAAAACCAGTCAGGCAGCTCGTTCACTCACTCCCCCTCTTCTTTCCTGTCCCCTACTCCCAGAGGGACGGAGAGGAGAATCCAAAAGAATGCAAGTCCCACGGGTTGAGATACGAACAGTTTAGTAACTAAGGTCTAACACACATCACTACTGCTACCACCAATAATAATAATGATAAAGGAAATAACAAGGGAAGAGAATACAATATCTCACCACCAGCCGACTGATAACTCAACCCCCCCAGCCCGACCAAGCACCGGCCAATACCTAGTCCAACCCGGCAGTCCTCTAGCCCTTCCGGGTAACTCCCTGTTACATCCGGGGCATGACATGATGTGGCTTGGAATGCTTCTTTGGTCAGTTTGGGTCAGGTGTCCTGGCTCAGACTCCTCCCGGATTCCCCTCCTCCCTCACAGAGCACGAGGCTCAGAAAGTCCTTCGTCAGACCAAAACATTTGTGCAGAAACTAAAATAATTGGTGTTATCAGCTCTGTTCCCAGGCCAAAAGTCCAAACCACCGCGCTGCACGAGCTACTAAGAAGGAAAAAAAATGACTGGTACTGCTAAACCCAGGACACTTGCCAATGACCTTTCTAAGAGTCCCCTAAGACCCCTCTATGACCCCTCAAGGAGTCCTCTATGACTCCTAAGACTCCTCAATGATGCCCCTATGACTCCTCTATGATGCCCCTATGATGCCTCTATGATTCCTCTATGACTCCACTATGACTCTAAGTCACCTCTATGACTGTAAGACTCTTCTATGTCTAAATTCTCCATGACTCACTCCCCTACAATTCCTCTAAGACTCCCCTATGACTCCTAGATGACTCTACTATGATTCATCTATGACTCCTCTGACTCCTCTATGAATCTATGACACTATGACTCCTCTAAGACTCCTCTAAGACTCCACTATTATTCTCTATGACTCCTCTATTATTCCAGTATGACTCCCCTATGACTCTTCTTTGACTCCACGATGACTCCTGTATGAGTCCTGCATGAGTCCTCGATGACTCCTCTATGTCTCCTCTATGAACCTATGACACTATGACACCTCTAAGAGACCTCTATGACTCCACTAAGACGCCTCTATGACCCCCTATGACTCCACTATGACTCCTCTATGACCCCTCTAAGACGCTTCTGTGACCCCCTATGACTCCACTATGACCCCATTACGACCCCTCTATGACCGCTCTATGACTCCACTATGACTCCACTATGACCCCTCTATGACCCATCTGTGACTCTTCTATCAATCCTCTATGATGCCACTATGACTCATCTATGACTACTCTACGACTCTTCCATGTCTCCTCTACGACACCTCTACGAGTCCTCTCCGATTCCTCCACGACTCCTCTACAACTCCTCTACAATTCTTCTATGATTTCTCTATGACTCCCCTTTGACACCACTATGACTCCACTATAACTCCTTTATGACTTCTGTATGAGTCCTTGATGACTCCTCTATGGCTTCTCTATCAATCTATGACACTATGACTCCACTATGACACCTCTATTACTCCTCTATGACTACTCTCTGACTCCTCTATGACACCTCTATCACTCATCTATGACTCCTCTATGACTCCTCCACGACTCCTCTATGACTCCTCTGTGACTCCTCTATGACTCCACTATGAGTGATCTATGATTCCACTATGACTCCTCTATGACACCTCTAAGAATATACGACACTATGTCTCCTACATGACTCCACTACGACTCTTTTATGACTTCTCTATTTCTCCTCTATGACTCCACTATGACTCCTCAATGACTCCTCTTTGGCTCTATTATACTATGACTACTACATGACTCCTACATTACTCCACAATGACTTCTATATGACTCCTCTATGACTCCTCTGTGACTCCTACATGACTCCACTATGACTTGTCTATGACTCCTCTATGATTCCACTGAGTCCTCTATGACTCTTCTATGAATCTATGACACCATGTCCCCTATATGACTCCACTATGACTCTATCATGATTCTCTATTACTCCTCTATGACTTCACTATGACCCCTCTATGACTCATCTATGACTCCTCTATGACTCCTCTATGACTGTTTTTGACTCTTCTATGACTCCTCTATGATTCCTGCATGATTCCTCTATAACTCTATGATGCTAAGACTCCTCTATCACTTCTCTATGACTCCTCCATGAATCCCCTATGCCTTCTCTATGATCCCTCAAAGGGGGCCAGAAGTGATGAAGATTGTTGGAAGAAGTAAACGAACCTCAGAGACCACCCCCACAATTCTGTACGCATGCGGGGAACTCTCTGGAAAATGATGTAATCCATATGCAGCCTTATGAATATGTATGTATGCCCAGGGACTATGAAAGGACGGCTTGTGTGGCAATTGAGAGACACACGTTAGGAGGAGCTATCCACCTGTGTCTCCTGGCGCCGCAAGAAAGAATACCTGCTTGTCAGCTTGAAAACTTTGTTGGTGAGTTTGCTCCTGGAGTTTTCTCTGAGATCACCTTGCACACGCAGAGCCGTGCACTGCAGCAGCAGCGTCTCTCTGGCCTCCTGCTGCCGCTGCGGTGTTGTCGACCTGGTCTGCCCTCACGTGGGGGCCCAGCGCCCAACATTCCTGACTCATGGTGGCACTGCTGGCTCTGCCGGGTACTGGGGCAGGAGAAGGGCCCTGGCTGATGCTGCTCCTTGTGGAGTCGTAGTGGCTGCGGAGGTGACAGCCCCGGAGCAGGCACCTGCATCTCCTGGCGCCTAGGATGTCCCTGGTGGCTCCTCAACTGTTGGAGCTGGCTCTGCTGACACAAGTGCTTCACCCTCCTCTTTGTCCACCCACCCAGGCTGCAATGGCTTCCCTTGGGTACAGCAGCCTTGAGGGAGACCGTGCCAAGAGCTGTGCTGAAGCTGAGGGAAACCACATCCACTCTTTGCCTCCTCACGCACAACTGCAGGCTCTCAGCTTGGCCAGGCAGCAGTTACCCTTCGGACGGCTTTTAGGTGCCCAGAGGTGTCACCCAAGAGGACTCTGATGCTGGCACACGCCTCACCAAAGGCAGCTTGTACAGCCTGGGCTCCCCTGGGTTGTCCTTGGCACCTTTATCAAAGGTAACTGCAACATGTCCTTGTCCTCCCTCCCAAGAGACCTCTGCCAATCCAATGACCTTTCACAACGGGGATCCCAAAGGAATGCCGATCTTCCCCTGTAACTGCACTGCCACTGTCCTGCCTGTTACACCGCGTCCTTCATTCCTCTCATCTTTCGTAGATTTTCCCCTGTCCAGGACACAGTCACCAGCTCTGAAGCCCTCTTCTCAGCAGGCTGTCCAGACAAAGGCCCTGTCCATCACTCTCCACTTGTCCCCTCCCCTCACTCTTTCTTCATTCAGAATCCTGTCCCCTAAGCTGCTGCTTTGAGCTTCAGGCAGGAAAGGCTTACAAGTGTTTCTACGGTCTAATTGTCTCCTTGGAGAGCTCTTTAATCATGTTCACAGCTACCTCTTTCTATCTACCTGTATCTCTACAACATTCCTCATGAGATTGTCCCTGTGTAGGACCGGGGCCCCGATGAGAGCAATGTTGGGTGTGGAGGTGAGGAGCGAGGTGCTCAGTGCAGTGCTGGACCTTAAGGGCTGCTTTTCCTGCCTGTGCAGGCCTCTGGAAGAGACACTTGGGATCAGTGGCAGTGGAATAAAATTTCTAAACTGAAAAGTGATAAAATAAACCCTTTCAAATAACTTCTATCAGATGCCCTTTGTAATCTTCCTGCACTCGGAAACCTCCCCAGTTCCCTGGAAGACAATCTGGAAGACTTGACAAAAACTTCACGGTGAGACAAGGCTCATCAGGGTTTAATGAGTCCCATGGTGTATTTGGGCTGAGTCCGTGAACCTCAGGGGCTGAGAGGAGACTGAGGAAACCTCTCAAGAAGTCCAAGTCAGAAACAAAGCCCCAAGTCCCTTCAGCATTAATGAGCCTCACTGAGGGCTGATGCTGACAAAGCCTCCCCAGGGACTCGTTAAAGCAAGTAACTGCAGGCTGTGATTACAGGAGACAAAGGCAAAGTGCAGGTGTCTGATGGTGAGAAAACCCTTGGTTTGTTTGATGATGCAGAAAGGCCAAGCCCTGACCACAGCCCTTGGAGAAGCAGAGGCTGAAATCCTGAGAATGAAAGCTCTCCTCATAGGTCTTGATGAAAGAGGCGACTGCCATAGCCCAGGGCACAGAGGCCTTTTGTTCTTTCGGGCCTATCAGCCATGCCAGAACCCTGTCATCTCTGCTGCAGGCTGTCCTACACTGGCCCATGCCTGCACCTCTTTCCCTTCAGGCTGTTGACACCCATCTTGCTTTCCCACCTAGCTCTCACCTGGCATTTCTGTACCTTCAGTCCCATCTCTGCACCCATGGCTGTCTGTTCCTTGAAACACAAAGCCATGGGCTGAGCCAGACTCCCTCTGGGTGACCTCTTGCACCACAAGTCCACCTTTTGAGAGACATTTCTCTTTCCTAACTTTGAGTCTGAACCTTCCAAGCTGCACTTTGCAGACATTTCCTTCTCTTCCTGCTAGCAAGAAAAACTACATCATCTCTGAAGCCACATTTCACCTAGTTGTAGGCTGCTACTATAGTGTCAATTCAGCAGGTGGAGTGAATATCCCTCAGCAAGCTGATCTAAAGGGGGCTTATAGAAAAATGTGTGATGCCATCAGTATAGAGAACTAAGCACCATGGGAGTGCAGTGGGAAAAGGCAATGGTCTGGATTGAGAACTTGTTGGCAAGAGCCAAAAGGAAAGGTGGTGTCCTTGGGTGCAAGGTACCCCATGCTCTGGGGACAGGGCACCTCATCTGGGAAAGCTTCCTGCCTGTAGCACCCTCTCTGCTGCACACACCCCGCTCTCTGCCCGCACTCTCAAGTGTCTCACAGAAGCTTTGCACTTCCCCTGCAGCAGCAACACCTCACTGCAGGAGGTTCCTGCATTCCCCAGGCTCAGGGATGGATCCTGCATTCCAGGCAAGTTTGGGTAGTGCAGGAGAGGGAGACAGGAAGGTGGGCTCATGGGGCATGATGAGCAGCGTTCAGGCACCCCCAGCCGTGGGCATTCCCCATGTGCCACTTGGAGGCATGTTCCCATGAGGGAAAGTTCTCAGATAGCCTGGGCAGGGAGTGGGGGGAAAGTGCAGCCCAGCCCGGGGAAGGGTGCGTTCAGGCAGCTCTCCTGGGGTCTGGCACTGGAAGTGGCTGCTGGCCATGCTCTGCTGTACGGAGTCCTCTGCTTCTGCCCATGAGAGCTCTGTGACCTGCCCTTTGAAACTGTGCTGCCCTGCTCTCCACACAGGACAGATGTTTGTGGGGGTTCTTACGATCAGTTTGTGTGTGAAGGCATCTTACAGGCAGTGCAAGTTTGAGCACAGGGGAAATGGGAAAGGACTGATGGATGCTGCAGCTCCCCTGGCTCTGCACTAAGCTTCAAAGAGCTGAGAATTTCTCCCTGTTTCAGTACTCTTCTGATTTTCTTTCAAAGAAACAATGTTTTATACCCCCCAAACCAACCTCAGCAATATTATGCCACAAATAAATAACACAGACAAAATGATTCTAAGGCCATGCTGAGCTTCAGTTGTGCAGCCCACATGCATCTGAATCATGAGTACATGTAGAAAACTTTACAACCAAGTTGGATTTCATCTGAAATCCCTTGTGAAAATCAGAGCTTGAGAAATCACTGCTTCAGAGCAAAGCTGACTCCCATCCAATCCTGCCTTGAACACTGCCAGGGATGGGGCAGCCACAGCTTCTCTGGGCACCCTGTGCCAGTGTCCCACCACTCTCAAAGGGAACAACTTCCTCCTAATGTCAAGCTAAATCTCCCTTTTTTTTTCAGCTTAAAGCCATTCCCCTTGTCCTGTCACTGCACAGCCTCATAAAAAGCCCCTCTCCAGATTCTTTGTAGGCCCTGCTTAGACACGGGAAGATTGCTAAGATGTCTCCCTGGAACCTTCTCTTCTCCGGGCTGAAGACCAACATCTCTAAGCCTGTCATCATGGGAGACATGCTCCAGCCCTCAGGGCATCTTTGTGATAATTCATAAGCCCATCATTGAAGGATCATAAGAGAAGAGAGGTTGGAAGGGACTCCAGGAGGTCTCAAGTCTAAGCTGTCAGGACCAGAGTCAGAGCAAGTGGTTCCAGGCTTGATTCAGTGTAAGCTGAAATCCCCAAGGCCAGAGACTGCACAGCCTCTCTGGGTGACCTGATGCAGCACTTGCCTGAGCCGATGGGAACAAGGTTTCCTTCTGTCCTGCCTGAACCTCTCCTCTGTCACTGTCCCCCACTGCCTTTTGTCCTCCCACGAGGCACCATTGTGAGGAGCCTGGCTCTGTATTCTCCATGTCCTCCTTTCCACTACAGGCAGCCAGTCCCCAACAGCCTTCCCTTCTCAAGATCTCAGGTCTCCATGAGCCTTCCCTTCTCCAGGCTGGAGAAGCCCAGCACCCCAGACTCTCCCCACAGGCACCATGCTCCAGTATCTCCTGATCTGAGGGCTCATTACTAAACCCACTCCTGAACTGGGGATGTGAAGCCTGGATGGAGGATTCCAGATCATCCCTTCCCTTGTTCTCCTGCCATGCTCCTGCTCATACAGCCCACGATGCTGCTGTCCTCCCTTGCTGCCAGGGCACACGCTGCCCCCTTTCCGGCTCCTGCCCACCCAAACCTTTCCCATGGGCTGTTCTCAGCCAGGCAGCCCCAGCCTGTGCCATTGCAGGGCAGTCCATTGCAGGGACCCCTGTGTCCCCTGCTCCACTGCCCAGGACACCCTGAGAGCTCTGCAGCCCCCCCCATGCCTTCCCATCTCCCCACACCAGCACAACAGCCCCGGCCCCTGGGCTCCCCAAGAGCTCTTCCTGCTCCATCAGCAAGGGAAGGCAATGCAAGGCTAGGGAAGGCAAGGCAACACAAGGCAAGAAATGGCAAGGCAAGACAAGGCAAGGCAACTCATGGCAAGGCAAGGCGACTCAACGTAAGGCAAGGCAAGGCAAGGCAAGGCCATGACAGGCCAGGCCAGGCAAGGCAAGGCAAGGCCATAACAGGCCAGGCCAGGCCAGGCAAGGCAAGGAAATGCAAGGAAAGGCAAGGCAATGCAAGGCCAGGCAAGGCAATGCTAGGCAAGGAAAGGCATGTCCAGGCCAGGCTAGGCCAGGAAAGGCCAGGCAAGTCAAGGCAAGGCAAGGGAAGGACAGGACAGGCCATGCCAGGCAAGGCAAGGCAAGGCAAGGCCAGGCAAGGCAAGGCAAGGCTAGGCAAACAAGGGAAGGCATAGTAAGGGAATGGAAGACACGGCAAGACAAGTCAAGGCAAGGAAAAGCAAGGCATGGCAAAGGAAGGAATAGCATGGCGAGGCGATGCAAGGCAATGGAAGGGAAGGCAAGGCAAAACATGGCAAGAGAAGGAAAGTCATGGCGAGGTGAGGAGAGGCGAGGAGATGCGAGCTGAGGCAATGGAAGGCAAGGCATGGCAAGTCAAGGGAAGGAAATTCATGGTGAGTTGAGGTGAGGCGAGGCAAAGTCAGGGCAACAGAAATAAAGACATAGTGAGGCGAGGCAAGGCAAGGCTCATTGCCACCAGTAACTAACTGAAGAGTAAAGAAGCTCTCAAGGCTTTCCTCAGGGGCTGACCATGTTTCTCCATTCACCGTTGATGGATGCATTGAGTGCCAGGGGTGAGGTTCCTGCAGAGGCAGAGATGGCCCTGGGCAGAGCCGTGCTGCCGGGAGGGGTGTGCAGGGCAGAGCTGAGCACACAGCCCATGGCATGGGCTCTGGGAGCACTGAGAGGGAGCAGAGCTGGGCACAGAGCAGAAGCTCCTGGCAGGGACAGCTCCAGGCAGCAGAGACATGGGCAGGGAGGGGGGGGGAAAGTGCAGCCCAGCCCTGGGGAGGGTGCGTTCAGGCAGCTCTCTTGGGGTCTGCCAGTCTGGAGGTGACTGCTGGCCATGATCTGCTGCACACAGCCCTTTGCTTCTGCCCATGAGAGCTCTGTGATCTGCTCTTTGAAACTGTGCTCCCCTGCTTTCAGCACAGGACAGGTGTTTGTGGGGGTTCTTAAGATCAATTTGTGTGTGAAGGAATCATACACAAGTGTAAGCAGAGGGCAAATGGGAAAGGACTGATGGACACTGCAGCACTCCTTGCTCTGCACTAAGCTACAAGGAGCTGAGAAATCCCTGTTTCAATATTGTTCTCATTTTCTGTCATACAAAGAATGTTTTATAGCCCCCCCCCCCGTGTCCCCTGCTCTCCTGCCCAGGACACCCTGAGAACTCTGCAGCCCCCCCATGCCATCCCATCTCCCCACACCAGCACAACAGCCCCGGCCCTTGGGCTCCCCAAGAGCTCTTCCTGCTCCAGGCACAGAGCAGCCATCCCAGAGCTGGTGCAGCCAGAAAGCTGCTTTCATTCCCCTTCATTCTTGCCATGTGAGGACATATCACAGAGAAGTTGCTGCAGGATCATTTATTTCCCTTAAATACAATCAGAGACCAGAGTGACACAAAGTCTGTGGGTCACACAACACGAGTGGCAACTTAATTAGGAGATGAAAACTGACATTTCTATGAAGACAACATAATCACAAATTGAAATAGGAAAACAAATGTAAAGCAGGAAAGACAGACATGGCCTGTCATGACCTACACTGGAAGCCCTTTCAAGGCTAAAGCAAGCAGCGTATATCTGCTGAAACA